TATGTGGCCATAGCTCCTTCAGTTTCATTGCGTCAAGCACGTTGACATGTTGACGTAAAGCAAGTTGTTTGCCAGAATGAAAACGGCAAACAACTTGTTTTACGAAAGTGCCAGTAAAACCACCTTCAACCAACCAATCATCGCAATAGATGTAGTAACTTTAAACAACGCACCCAACCGTTATTCAAGTTACTTTAGACATTATTTAAGCCTGAGAAATTTTTAAACAATGAATTTAACCCTGGAATTGCCAAAAAAGGTGCAAAGCACAATAGTACTCGGTGCAATTAATCTCATTCTGAAAGTGTAGGTAAAACACAGCAGAAGCTCCTTGGGAAATACACGTTTTACACTGCAATGTGGGATTTAGGGTGCTTTCCATAAACCTACTGTAACAGTTGGTCCAACCTGATAGAAATCCATCGGTCAGCAATCCATATTTCCACCAGGTTTGCACAGGTTTCATGGAGCTCTTCGCTTACCAAGCCCAGCATGGCATGTCGGACTGAGAAATACAAGAGACTCGACGCTCGATGAGAAAGATGGGTGACTTGTCCCAGCGCTAAATTTATGAAACCGCTCATGGTTGACACAGACCAGTACTGGCTAGATGGAGTTCAAGGGAAACTAGAGGGGAGTATAAAATGGAACATCACTGAGCCGTGAAGCTCACGAAGTAATGAGGACTCTAGTTAGATGAGGCTTATTTTTTGTACTCTCTCAACTCATACTAGGGGTTAAGCACTATTCTTCGAAGTATGTGCACGCGGGGGTAGGACGAAGTCTCAGGGTTACAGGGTTACTGTACGGGAAGAAAATTTGCTTGAACGGTTTTCAGTCTTGGTTGAACGGTATCCAGATTTATTGAACGTTTTCCCATAGTTTCCACAATCTCCCTGTGACCGTAATGGCTGGGCGTAAAGTGCGTGGAATAAACGAAGAAGCACTCTACTTTCCTTGCAATCGGACTCCATGCGGCAGTCCGTGCCCACCGCCACCTGCGCTCCTGATTGGACCTACGACGATGGGCAACAGGGTCAGATGACCACTGACGTCGAGGACGACCAAACAGGGCTGCAAGCGGCGCGCCAGCAGTTCAAGGGCGAGGTGGTCGAGCCGCCCACGTCTCAGCGCGTGAGCGCGAACCCCCTCATTGCAGCGTTCCAGACCAACAACATGGCGCAGCGCATCGTGTC